AGTTTACATAAAGTCAGAAGAGCACAAGGATAAAAACATACAGAAAATCACTTCAGCTAAGACCGATGTGCTGCATGATGAACCATAAAGATTAGATTGGATCCTTCCCTGGAATCCATTGAGAGGGAATTCAGAAATCTAAATTCAAAAGCAATCAAACCTAAAAGAAGAAGATGAAGGCAGCAGGAAAAGTTGAGTGAGCAAATATGGGAGCAAGAGAAAGAGACTGTACACTACTAATTTCTGCTACAAATTCCAAATTGATTAAAGATATCAAATTCACCTTTCCACAAAATTCCTTCTATTGTTTTGCTTGTTATATTTATTTGTTTGGATCTTATGTATTCAAGCAATCTTCAAATTTCATCAACTTCAATATATGCACAATGCAGTTAGAAACATCAGAAAGTTAAAAACCAACACTGGATCATCTTACAGGAAAATATGGTGAACACTGGACATTACTAATTGTTTTAATCCCAAAATGCCTTCTAGCTACATTTAACAATTCTGACACAGACTTGCCACCAGCCAAATTAAATCAGGCAATTGAAACAGTGCTGACAAATAGATTGCCAACAAGCAAAAAGATTGACAGTAAATGTAAATGAAGGCATCTAAATTATCCAAATACTTGATTGAACATCTAAGCAGCAGGGGGCCGAAGTTCATGATCACGAGATGTATCACGGACCGATGGAGGTAAATAATGCCACATTGGAACCAGACTATAGCTAGGATACATTGCCATCTTGCTTGCCCCAGGATGATATGCAGCTGGGACTGCTGGGTGGGTTGGAACAAACCCAGAAGGTGAAATTGCAATACCTTTCAACTGCTGCTCCAACCTTTCTTTATCTGCTTTCAGTACAAGTTTCTCCTCACGGAGTTCATTCTTCTCTGCCTGTTATAGGCAAGACCAGTCAACAAAGTGAGTACTCAAAACTTCTGAGGTAGTAAAACTGAAATATAGGGAGAGTTTGAACCATCTAAAAACCACCCTGATTATAAATTCCAAATTGTACCTCAAGAGTTCAAAATAACCTTATGTTTCATTTGAAATTGAGGAATTTTAGTCTAAATTGATCAAACCCTACCAATACATAAATATTTGAATCAGTGGGGGAAGAAAGCAACAAAAGTTTCTCTTTCTCTGAAATGTATTTTGTACACGGATTTTAAATGATGCATTGTACAAAGTGATTTCAAATTCAAAATATTGCATTAGTCATTTTGAACATGTTGTACTTTTTTTTTATGAATACTCCAACAAATGTAGACTTAATCTTGAAATTTCAATCTTGTGTCTTAATCTGTGCATCCGAATGCACCTTTAAGTAATTCATGCCTCTGATTAAAAACAAAAGATTGAAAACCAGTCTGTCATCGCAATACAATGGGAGAGAAGTCAAAGTCAAAGAAAGAACCTGACCTAATGTTATGATGGATGGATGAATGAAAGCTTACAAGAAAGTTATATAGGGATTCTACGCACTTGAAATCTACTTGTTTGAACTGGGAATAAATTTATCTAAACTCATTATGTGGTAATGCATTAGATTACAGTCCAGCATACTAACAGGGCAGAGATACTAATAATACAACATCTGAAGCAAGGGGTATCTTGAATAGTTACGACTGTAAATTATGATAATAAGGGATAAGTTTTTGGTGGAACGAATCTTTTATAGAATCAACTTATATATGGTACAAATTAGGTCATTGTTGAAATAGATTTATTGTATAATCTCCAGCTGAGAGGAGCTTGTCCAAGGTATCAAGTGCAGCAAAAGGGATGCTTGGAATTTTACCCGAGTTTACCACAAACCACATGGAAACAAATAATACTTTAAAATCAATCATAAAAGCCTATCATAACTTTAAGATCATCTGAAGCAATTTTCTGTTCATTTTCAATCAACTAAAGCTAAGGTCAAATAAGTTTGAAATACTAGATTGCAGAGATGGCTCAAAAGGATTAGCTGAAATGAAAAGAATATTGCTTTCAAACTCAGTGTTATTTGTCTTCTCCAACACTATAATTGAATGAATAAAGATGATCTATAGCCTGTCATGGCTACTTTCATTCTGGAGGTTCATACCTTCATCTAAAATCTATATATGAACATGATCATAACTTTTATTGACATGTTCTCAACCCTGCCAGGGAGGCAAAGATTAAAAATACCCAGATATGTTTTTGACAAACTCTGTGCCAGCTACCAAATGGTCCAAATCTCATAATATAACTTTTATTTAAAAGAAAACAAAAATATTTTAAGTAAATGAGCTAGGAAATGATGAACCTTTAAACTTTTTACTTCTTCAAGTAACTTTTCATTTGTTTCTTTGAGCTCCTGAGCTTCAGCTCTCAGCTGGGTCAAAACCCTTATGGCATCATCAAGAATAGCAGGCTTGTCAGATTTGGGCGGTCTCCCAGGTTCTAAAACAGCGCTCAACTCCACAAACCTGCAAGAAGAATCAAAACCAACATGTTTCCAATAAAAAATAAATAAATAAATAAAAATAATAACATCTACTCATCTGATCAATACAAATTAACCTAATTCAACAAAAAAACAAAAAAGAAAAAGAAAAGACAGAAAAATGAGATTGGATGCATGCCTGTCATTCAATCTCTCCCTCCTCAACTTCTCACGGCAGGCTTTCGCTCCAGACCCAGAGCAAGAAGAATCGGTTCGTCCCCTGTTTCATGATCAAACCCAACAACCAAAACACCATTAAAATGACAAAAAGCTTGGCACTTTCAGAACACGGAAAGCAATTACATTACTGTAGATTCACGGGAAAATGAAAAAAAACAAGAAAGTACCTTTTGCGAGGGCACTCTTTTTCCGGTGAGAAGGCAGCAGGAACATCAACAGCAGAGAATTCGAATTCCCTAAATGAAGGAGTGTCATTAGGCCAAAGGAAATCGCTGGGCTGGGTCGTCTCGTCGATGTAATCAAGATACTCTATCCATTCCTCCATCAGAGAATACATGAGAGACTGAGTCCTATTCTATTAATATGATTCCAAAGACTTTTGATGCACAATTTAATTAATTAATTTTTTTATATATAAAATAAGCCCACACAAAACAAATTGAGCATGTAGTTTATTCCTTTAGTTGTTTTTTTTTTTTCTTGAATTATAAAACCCGAATTAGGAAAAAATTAGTGTCTGTGACAGAGAGATTAGGTGGCCTTCTCACTGGTATTATCAATTCACATACATTTTCACAACCTAGAATTTTACTATTTAAGATATAAAATTTGGATAATAGGACCATATAAATTTAATTTACATGGATAAATTGGTCTGTTTGGTGATGTTTCCTTAGTACCGAAATTTTGGCATGGGTTTCCAAATCCTTTCCAACTACTTTGTATTTTGCATCAATTAAACTCTTGTTAATTATATACACTCTAACAAATATTCTTTTTGTTTTCACGAGAGGTTATTGAGGTAGGATCACAACGGGTGACTAATGGAAGTGCTAGTAATCGGATGGACTCAGCCCAATGTTATTCGAATCAGTCAGGTCTCAAATTGCCTAATTTTGTTCGATTTAGGTCTCAAACTGCTTAATTTTATTCGATTTAAGTCTCAAACTGCAACCAAATCAATGTCAACAGCAATAGTTCGGTGAGGTTTATATAGTGTGGTCATACAACAACCCTACATGAATGATAAATATGTTAACCTTACTAAATAACCATACGTTGGAACAATGCATGTTTAATCCCAAATGCAATGAATAATTAAGATGAATCTAATAGGTACTTTGAATTAGGCTGCTGTTAATGAAGATGAAAGAACCATGTGATAAATGATCTATGAACTCTCGCGTTGTTTGGTTCACGGAACGAATTTGATGAGAAATTATTTTTCATGGCATTTCCCAATAGATGAGAAATGGAAGATTCATTTCCCACATTTGGTAATGTCATGAAAGTAACCAGGAGATATTACTTTATTTCATTTCCCATGTTTGTTTTGAGTAGAAATGGAAAACAAAGTTTGTATAATTTTCCAATTATACCCATATTACATCAAATAAAAAAAGAATGCATGTAATGATATATTGTAATTCTAAATTGTTAATAGAGACAAAATAGTCATGAAAAATGTGTATTTAATGTTGGCTCATTTTCCCAAACTTTCCCAAGATGAGGGAAAACAAAACCCAAGTTGGGAGGATGGCTTCACTTTCCCCCAATACTTTTCTATGTATCAGGCAACCGTTTTCCATGTTTGGACTTACCAAACATGGAAAAGCAATTGATTTCTCTCATCCCTAAGTCTCCTTTCTCATGAACCAAATGCAGCCTTAATATTTTACCAAAATATCGCACAGCTCCTTTCATAAATAATTAACTAAATATCTTATGTTCTCTTATATAACATTAAAGCAAACTTCATACTATAAATTGAACAAAGACTTTTAGCATAAGAGAAGTTTTGAGAGAGATAAATGTATAAGATGTAACACAACAGTAAACGAAAATGATAACAGATAAATATGTGGTTTGATTGGGGTTAGAGAATTTCAAATAAACCAAATTGAACCCAATAAAATTAAGTATTGCTTGTTTCAAATCGGTCCTATAAAGATTGGTTTAGTGTAACCGGTTTCAACGGTTTGGGTGGTGTTTTACTTACCTACCCCTAGACAGAAGAAATCAATCAGGTTTAATAATTGGTCTTTACAGGCCTCATAAAAGAAACCATTTTCTAATACATTATAATAAAGTGTGGATACATATGTCACAGTTTTTGATTTAAAGGAAAAAAAAACCATGTCACAGTCACTCCAAAGCCTAGAACAGCAGCTAATAGAAAATAAACCATTTTATTGTCAATGATCAAATGATGATGTGCGCAGCCTTAATAAAACAAAATCATTGCCACAAACGAAAAGAGAAATACTAGCTACCTTCCCTATTGCCATGTCTATCATATTTGTCAAGCTATCAATTTAAACTACACACCACCCATGAATCAACAGGAAGATAAATTATAAGAATGTGAAAAAATGCATAACATGCCAAAAGAGCATTTGAACTTTGTTCTATGCCTCTCCATTCTTCTGTTTTCATGTCATAATGGATCAAGAATAAGCATCTCCAAGAATAATGGTACTGACTCAATTTAGGAGGCATCATATACTACATCAAGTTTTGATTTGCCTGTCAGAGCCTGGGAAGGTATCAGGAGGAGCCACCAAATTTGCATGGATTCATAACTTTGTAGACAGCAACACAAGCATCACTACAGATCTTGAATTTCTTTAACACCAAAGAGCTTCTTTGCCCACCTGAACAACTTATAATTATAAGTCCATAATTAACCACTCATAGAATATGCTCTGCAAAGATGCATGGGTGCTCAAGTATGGTCATTTTCAGTAGGCCATAGAATGATTAAGATCTTATTAAGCTTTGGATTAAATTAAAGAAAACACATATTATTGAACTGGAAGATCACTTTCAGAGTTGAAATTTCTCTATCTTTGAGTTCACATACAATGGCAGTTACCATTCCTTAGAAGCAACAGCTTGATCAGCACACAGCTTTGAAGCAAAACAGTGAAAGAAAAATTAAATCACATGGGCTTCGTTCTTAAGCTTGTCAATCAACTCGTCCACAGAAGAAAGGATGACCCCTGCTTTTCTTTTGGGAGGTTCGGTGACTTGAACCTCCTCTATATCGGATTTGATTTCCACATTCAGATCCTCTGGAGTAAATTTCTTTATGGCCTTTGATTTCGCTTTCATGATGTTGGGGAGAGTTGCATACCTTGGTTGGTTCAGCCTCAAATCAGTGCTGCAAGAGGGCCACGGAAACAACTATTAATTTAGAATTTTCACCAAAGATCAGGTTTAGACAATATTCCTCCTCCTTCCCTGCATTCATGTGTGTATGTGATGATCTTTTGGCCGGTTTTCAGTCCATCACTTTAATTGATGTTTCAAATTTTCTAATATAAAATATCTAAAGTTGAACCCTTCAAACTATAGTGACATCACCAAGTAACAAGTTTTCTTAAAATATTATCAAAATTATGTCATTATCACACTTTTTTCACATTTGTCAATTTAAAGATAGACCATTTTAGACTTTTAGTATCATTTTACGTGGCAAGACTGTTTGTCTATATTTTATTTTAATACGTGATTGATCACTTTTTTTCTTTTAAGGAGAGAGGGGGGTGGTGGGTGCTTATCTTTCTGAATCATATTCTTATTTTACGCATGCTGTCCATGTTAAGAAAATAAATTGTTTTTGGAAACTAATTTGATACTGATACATAGACAAAGTAGTAAAGAAGTAATAATTATATAAGTTCAGCAATTCTAGGATTACCCTACCTAACTTAATTGAACACTTGAGCTTTTATTGTCTCAGCCTTACTTCTTACACTTCTCTGTTTTTGATGGCCTAGCCAATTGGTTTGAAGCTAATCCAAGGTGTAGCAATCCTAGGCAGCTTGGTCTGGCTTGGAATTTAATCTTTACTGTCACTTGTTGGTTTCTGTGGGTGTGTTGTTATGTGTTCGATTCTGATTTTCAAATTTCTTGAGAACCAAGTAATTGTATCCTTCGACTGGCTCAAGGTTAAACAGGTCCTTAGTTGCAGACCTCTTCGTGCCCAAGCTTTATTGGTTTGGTAACCCCCTTCGTCAAGGTTACTTGAAGCTGAATGTGGATGGTTCTAGATTAGGGCCCAACGATTATCTAGATGCTGGGGGCTAATCCGAGACTGGAAGGTTTAAGGGCTAACATCAGCTCAGGTGATATCATTCCAGCTGAACTTTGGGCTTTATACCATGGTCTTAAGAAGGCTTGGGATATAAAAAATTCCAATCTGTTGGTTGAAGTTGATTCAGCAATTATTCTTCATCTGATTTTAGGATCTGTCAGCACCACCCATCCTTTCATTGGTCTCGCCATTGAGTGTATATGTTTAAGCAGAGGTGGTTTCCATTGCTTAGTGTCTGTCCCATGTTCATCGGGAACTCAATTTTGGCAGCTGATAGTTGAATTTCACCAGCAGGGTTGGGAAAGAAATTTTTGCTTAGTGTGGGTTGTCTAGTGTTTTGGGTTTAGGCCCTCCATACAGGAGTATATATGTTATAACTAAACCAAGTAAATGGGCCAGCTGAACCATTCATATTTTTCAATTTTGTGATATTTCTCCGTCCAATTAATCCAGTGTGTGTGTACAAATAAGCATGGTGCAACATTTTTGTCTTTGAAGTGCTTTGAAATTTGGGTGAGGATGGAGATGGAGATAGATGCATCCAAGTGTCCAAAAACGAATGCATGAGAAGATCTGATACTTACGTGATCACTGCTGGCATATCTAGACACAAAGTCTCGAGACCACCATCTACCTCTCTGTCCACTGTCACTACTTGCTTCTCCTTATCCAGCACAACCTACTGGAAATATTTAGTCATATGAAGAAATTCATAAAAAGTTTTGTCCGAAAATCAGAATAGAACAAAATGCACTATCAACGCATGTCATTATCTGTGAAATTCTGTTCAATGTTAACTCAGAGAGACAACTAAAAATATGCAAATAAGTAACAGTAGAGAAAAACATATTACTTCTACAAATCATCTACATTGCTATATATGTATAGATTTTAAAATGGACATGTCTTCTCATGAATACAAAACTGAAAGGACAACGTATTTGTTTCAGCTGAGAGGATAATGTCTTTGTGACGGAGTAAAGAGAAGGCAAATACGATTCTTTTTTTAAGAAAATAAATGAAATTTAGGAATAACAGGGATTTAAGGATGAGAAATAGAAGTAAGTTTTAGTAGAAACAGAACCACATCTCTCCAAAAAAAACCAGGTACTTCAAATACCAGAGGTCCATGACCCATTATGTTGTCTGATGTTACTGAATTTAAACAAAGACTGGCCATAAACAAAAGAACTTAAGGTAAGCATATTGACCAAGAGAGCAACTAGATTCTCAGATTGTCAAAACTCAAGATAACTAACATGTGACAAGATCGGTATATATGCTTCTAAGGCTCTAACTATACCTCTCAACCACCTCAATTAATGTTCTTTACACCCTTGTTTCACTTTAGAGAGCCTTTCATCTGCAATTCTTCCTTGTGGCACGCCTAATTTCAGAATTCACTTTCATCAGGGCAAACAAACTCTTGAAAAGCAGCATCCTATTTTCCACTAGTTATTGCCTATGCTATAAGGGCCCTCAGAAGCCATAAGGTATCCAGGTCAATAGGGATATCTGCAGAATAGATGTATCTCGAAGGCATAGAGAGAGGAACACCTCCCAAACCTTAACTTCCTGATTTTAATTTCTTCAGAAGTCTCCCTGCTGCAGGAATATTATACTATGGAGTGAAACTACAAAACGGGGTAGTGCTTCTAGCCAGCCAGCTAAGCTTTATATTTATTGACTATAATACCAAAACAAAGTCATTTGTGCCTCCTGGCCACTACAATTAAAAGGAACGTAAACAAAATCCTTTGCTCAGCCCTTAAAAACAAACGAGAAATTAGAAACTGATAATCAGCAGCATCAACAAACTAATATTAACTACTACGCTTTGAGGCTAGACGGTTTGAATTCTTAAATTACCGATTAAAAGTCCCAAAAACGACATCTGGATTTCAAACATAGTCTCATATTCGCCTACATTTAAAACTTCAACTTATAATGCATGAACACATTAATGATCATATTCCTCAATTACTTAATGGTGTGAAACAAATACCACAAGGAAGCAAGCAATGTAAGTATGCAAGTTGTAAGCAGCATATTTCTTCTCTACTTGAATGAATTAGGGCCTTTCTCTTTTTTAATGAGTGAACAGAGAAATAAATAACTAACCTTTGAAGCAAAGGTCCCTTGAGGCCAGTTCAGCAGCCCTGCCACCATTTGCCCCGTTTGATTGCAATCATCGTCAATAGCCTACACATTTACTCAATATATGTCTAAAGGATAATACTTTCACTTCTTTAAACCAAAACCAACAATGCAAACACTCAAAACCCAAATCTTAAAACTAAAAGAAAATAGATTTAAGAAAAACCTGCTTGCCAAGAATGAGAAGGCCAGGCTTCTCAACCTCCACGAGAGCTCTCAAAAGCTTAGCAACAGACAAAGGGTACAGAGGACCACTAGTCTCCACATGAATGCCCCTATCAGCTCCCATAGCAAGGCCTGTCCTGAGCGTATCGACGCACTGCTTTAGACCCATGGTGACGGCCACGACCTCCGAGGCCATGCCCGCCTCTTTGATCCGAAGGGCCTCCTCCAAAGCAATCTCGCAGAATGGGTTCATCGACATCTTCACGTTCTGGGTCTCCACGCCGCTCTGGAAACAAAACGAAATGAAACTGTTCGATTAGAAAGACATGATTTTGAACTGAAATACGAACTGGGTTTGTGTTGGATTGGCCTTGCCTTATCGGATTTGACTCGGATTTTGACGGCGTAGTCGACGACCCGCTTTATCGCCACCATTATCTTCATGGTTTCTTTCTTCTGCTCGGTCTGCTTGCCAAGAATGGTGATTGGAATTGGATAATCCGGTGTGATAAGGGTGAGGAGAGAGAGTTGGAAACGGCATTGGCATTTGCTGAGCTAGCAGCTACTACTAGTAGATAAATGGTGCCCGCAACTTTCCTAGTATAATAAGCTCTCATTTTTTTATGTGGCCAAATAAATAAATAAAAAGCTCTCATTTTGTATTTTCTTTTGTTTTCTTCTTCACTATTTGAATCCGAAGACAAATGGAAAATCCATACGTATTAATTTTTTCTTTTGTCGAAAAATTCTCATGCATTATAACAGAAAAAAATCCCGACCAGAAAAATATAATACAATAAAATATGTGCTATCATAAATACTACATACTCGGCTAATTGAGTGTAAGGAGGCGGGCTCATTGTCATGACCAACTGATCTAATTCACATATGCGCGTAAGTAATTTATTTAAATTGAACTTGATGGTGTTTTAGGTGGTGCTCATGTTGCCCTATTTAATAATTATGTTGTAACTAGATATCTAAGGTCTAGACTCTTTACTTTTTATGGTTCATTCATGTGTGTGCCCGGTCTTAAATAGACTAAACTTACAATTTTATTTTTATTTTTATTTTCCTTTCATGTTTCAAAATGATCTTATATTATTTTTCATCACTAGAAATGTTAAATTTGTTTGTTGAAATATTTGTGAAAATAAATATTAAAAAAATCAATATAAACGCAAGTGCGGAGTTGGGAATTTTCAATGGGGAGGGTAATCTTATTTTCTGTGTGATTGGACTATTTTTTAGGAGAATGCTAAGCTTACCACATTTTTATACCACTTTGTGTATCACCTCTCTAATCTAGCATTACTCTTTTTTCTAATACAAGCGATTGGGGGGAGGAGAATTTACATAAATATTCATCGGGTGTCTAGGGGTTTCAAAACCTCTGCCCACATGTATGAAGGTGGAAGAGCTTAACTAATTGAGTTATACCCCACTGGCAAGTTTAGTGTTACTGCGTTCAATTTGGGTGAGCTACAAGATTTTATTTGAGTAAGTTACACTTCAAATAAGTAAAAATAGGTCAACAAAATCTAGCTTAGTGGAAAAGGGTCTCAATTTGCAAACCAGTGGTCTCAAGTTCGAATCTCTATATCACATTGACAGTGTGTGTAATCCGTTATCACTTGTCTAAAAAAAAAAAGTAAAATAGAGTAATTTTAGTGTAGTACTAAAGTACAACCGCGTGATACAACAATTTATCAAAAGTTGCGGGTCGTGCCTAGCTCAAGCTCATGTCATTTCTTGAATGTTTCATGTTCGTGTTGTCGGCCTAAGCCCGAGCCCATTTACTTGTGCTGTCGGCCTCATCCTAAGCCTAAGCCCATTTACTTGTGTCCATGTTGTGTTTGAGCCTGTGTTGATCACCCCTCTCTTTATAATTTCTAATCACAGACAAATGTAATGAAGCCCCAGACATGCCTGATATTCACAGGCAATAGATCCAAACCCATACACACAGAACATGGCTCTTATGAAAGTGTCGTTGTTGTCGACCATCAATCTTTTTTTAGTATAGAAAAGTTTAGAGGTGGGGAGGCTACCCATCTCAAGGACATGGCATATTAAGGTCTTTTTGAGGATTTACAAAGGGAATTTTAGCTCTTTTTTAGGTTTTACAGATTATCCACTCAAAAGGATTGTTGACAACAGGATTTGAACTTAAGCATGAATAGCGAAGAAAATGATTCTTACCAACTCAACCAACCTGTGAGTGACCATCACTCTTTTCACGGGCATAGTGCCTACTATTTTTTGATTCTATTCTATTCTAACTCTACAGAAAACTAGTCTTTTTGTTTTTGCCAGCTGATGGAAAAGCTCTATACTCGGTCAGAAACCAACAGTGGATTTCAGGGACGTGAACCCAAAATACAGCTTTATGAAACTTTTGTTTGGAGCATATTCGAAGGCAGTTAGACATCAAAACCTGTTTTTGACACCTTACCCAACCCAACCTCTTGCAACAGTCTTGCACATTAATTAGAGAACTATGCAGGATTTTGATATAAGATTTGACTTCTGTAGCAACTATTGATTGTCGAGAAAATCAGAATGCACTGACTCAAAGGGGAAGGATAAAATAATTAATTCAGGATGAACTGTGAGTAAAAAATTGTAGTATTTGGCGCAGTCCATCCAATGAAAACAAACTGTAGTATTTATTTATAGAGTTTGTCCGTGACTCAAATTGTATGCCAGATGACACAAACCACAAATATATAAACATAGTTGTCAGAATAGTAATAGTAAGTAGCTAACTACTGTTCCTGCATATCAAATTGGACCAATCCCAATAGCCCTCACTTGAATGAACTCTGTGGCTTTCCTTTTTGCTAAAGGAATTGACCCTTGCTTCGTAGAAAACTTCTCTATCACCTGTATACAAAGTGATTATTTCCTGTTAATCATGTAATGAGAGATATCCGTCACGACTTACACTTATTTTCTCATTTATTTAACTTTATAAGTTGAGATTGAACTTTGGCAAAGCAAAAGTGATGATAAGACAATTATATACATTAGTTTTATTTGTCTCACAATTAGAGCTATTACGTGCCACTAATCTCGCCTCACTGAAGATTTTCTCATCACAAAAGTGCAATGTATTGATTTAGTGAATATTCTGACACGAACCTAATTTCAAAAAAAGAAATCACTATCTCATTTTTGTGTATGATTGGAGATATCATTTGATTTCTTGGTAAGTAGGTTAATATTCCAGACTGGAAAATAGTTGGCATCATGGAGGGGAGAACCTCACCAAACCATACATATGAACAAACCATATATACCTCCCTTGTACCAGCATTAGCATTATTGATTATCACACATGAAGGCACTTAATTATATGATTGTTTCAAATTGAAGAGGACCCATATCTGCCAACATAATCAAATGGAAAGGGACCTTCCCCCTTTTACACGCTTTGTAATCTTTGGATTCTGCTAGTTGGTCTACACAAAGGGGCCTCCTCCATGCTAAATTCCTTTTTCTTTCCTTTAAAAATAATTTGATTCTTGAGGTTGGTCTGTCTTTCTCTGATCAACAACAATGAAATTCACAATTATTCAATTCAATATAGGTGGGTAGGAAAAAGGATCATTTGAAAAGAAAAAAAATTGAGAAAAAAGGGAATAAAAAGTGGTAATTTCAGCAATGATGCCCAATCCCACCACATAAACCAAAAAGAAATTCCAGTAGAGCGCTATGGTTTCAAATTTCAATTGAATATGGCTATATGACATTAACAAATCCTTTAACCTCTCAATAATACATCTAAAATCTCTATCTCCCAAAAAACACTAAAAACTTGCAAAATCCCAAGAAGAAAATAAGAAGGCAGACTAGAAAGGAAAAAAAACTTGGCCTATGTCTCCAAATAGACAGGAAGAATTGCACTTCTAGATCCTCTACCATTTCCAAAAGAAAAGAAAGATCTTCTAACCCTACCACTACTACTACAACCTTCAATGGGACTCATCTCACTGACTTGCCTGTGCTGCTGCTGCTGCTGCACAGCCTCTTGAACTGCCAAATAGAGCTGCCTATCAGCTGAAGAGTCCATTGAGAAAGACCTCCTTATGGGTTGGATTGAGAACTGCTCATCTTTGCCTCTAATGTCAATACATTCATCCCCCATGCTTGTAACCTTGTTGTGAAACTTTCTTGCTAATTTCTTGGGCACACTTCTGTTTTCCAATTTCCTTGGTGAAGGGCTAATAGAAATCACTGATGCCTCCCCTGAATTCAGTCTTTCTTGCCTCCCAAGCATTGTTTGCTCCATCGAATTATCGTTACTCAATTCGATCACCACGTAGTCTTCATCACCGCCACTTAGGCTACCTGCATATGGACTTGGATCTTGGGGTGAAGAGCTTGGAGCAACAATTCGATCGAATGGAAACCGGGTTGTGGTCGAAATGCTTGTTCTGCAAAGTGGGCAATTGGCATTGCTTTGAAGCCAAACATCAATGCAATCAATGTGAAAAATGTGGCTGCAATTTGGTATGATCCTCAGCTTCTCATCTTCTTGGAACTCATTCAAGCAAACTGCACACTCACAAAAGCTTCCCTCTCCAAATCCTCTGTTCCTATCTTTCTTGAATTGCAACAATGGGATTGATCTGATCACAGCCTCATCAAGCCCTCGAGTCTCTAACCCGGGAGAGTAGGCCATTAGCTGGTCTTCATCGCGCCTATTTCGCGATAATGAGAATCGTCTGAGAAGATCAACACGGTGCCAATTGAGGCAGCATTTGATCACAAAGATGTAGTAGCTCACAAGCAAGAAAGCTGTGGCTATAATTCCTATTATGGCAATGGCTATAATGGGGAAACTTGTGTCTGAATGATGAAGAGGAGCCCCAAAGATTGTCCTTCCTGGACTTGTTGTTGGAGGAAGAGCTTGTGACAAATGGATCAAGTAGCTTTTGCTTACAAGATCCATGAAAATGGAGCCTCCTATGACCAATAAAAACTACTTGGGTTTTCTTAGATCTTGAAACTTGTTTAACAAAAATATGCAGACAGAGAGAAAATACACAAAACCATCAAACTCACAAGAAGTGAGATGAATTAATGCTTGATTAGCAAAGATCTATACTAGAGAGAAAACCCAGTTTGGACTCTGAGTTGGAGAAGGTAGATTTGGAAAGGTGGATATGAAATCAAATGGAAGAATGAGCTAGAAGCATTGAGAAGAGAGAAAAAGAAGGAAAACCCAGGTGGGAATTAATGGAAGTGATGTTGAGAGGGACATGAAAGGGGCTTGAAATTCAATGAAAATGTGCTCTGCTCAACTTTTTCTTTTTAAGTCTGAGTCTTTGGTTCAGAGTGCTTACGTAGTTGGTGAATTTAGAAAATTGCTTAAGTGTCAAGTGTCTCTCGATAATTGTACATTTTATTATTTAATTAATGTTACAGAAACGTATGGCAGTATGGTTATTATATAATTATATATATAAAGGAGGTTGTATAGAATGGGCAGTTCCCCACCATGACTCACATAAGGGCTTTGCATTTTTTTTCTTTGATACAAGCGACGTTAAGGAGAGGTGAGTTGAACACTGA